ACAAAATTATGATATCGTTTGATGCCCAGTCGCTGTTTACATACCTTCCAATTCTCGAAACGGTGGATTACGTGTGTGAGCTGACCTGGCAACTGCCAATCTACGCAACTTTTCAGGAGGATTGGTTAAAAAGTACTACTTCACTTAAATTTATGTGTTCAATTTACCTTTAATAGTAAGGTTAAACGTCTGCTTGACGGAGCGGTCATGGGATCAATTTGGGGCCGTTGTTGGCTGATAACTTTATAGGGAAATTAGAACATGGCCCCACTCTGAGTCCACATATGTGCAACTGAAAGGTAGGGTATGTCGATTAAAACTTTGAGCTTGACGAATCCGAAAAGCATTCAGAATAGTTGCTGAAAGCCTTCAATGACACACGTGAGAATCTACGTATCACCTTCGAACAGGAAAACGGTAAGCGATAAAGTTATTGGACGTAGAAGTCATGCGCAGCTCGGATGTCTCTTGTAGCTGTGAGGTGCTCAGAAACATAAATGGACCGGGCGGCACACCAAATTTTACAGCGCAATGCCTTTACAGCACGAATCTAAGCCAATCTCTTACTTACAGGGCGCGCATTATTTGCACGCTGGATCCCGTCAACGAATATTTAAAGCGAATTAGCAACGCCATTAGAGGAAATAATTACTCCGGTACGTTTATCATGAAGCAGCTGAAGGAACGAAAACAAAAGCCACCTGGGAACATTGTTCCCAAGGAACAGCTTTGCATACGTTTAACATTTGTTTGTGTATCTGAATCTGCTATTTTATCTCGATGTTTGAAAGATGTTGTTGAGAAAGTTATTTATCCTCCCGCTTGAGAATTGTTTACCATAACCAACTATTGCTTGCAAAATCCTTGAAAGGTAGCCTGCACTCATTGCTCAGTTCAACGCTTGTTTAGCAGTACTCCAGTTATTAACGATACGTGGGTTGCATAACGAGAGGCTTTTCACATAGGATTCGCGGGCACAACCTGGTATATATTTATATAGGCGAAATGAGGTCCTCAAACAGCTCAATCATGTCGCGCATGCTTGAATGTGACCATGCTACATCGGCGAATGAGTTTCAAGTCATTCACTTACTGCCTGAACACTTCTCGCAAGGATCCCAAAAGCAAACCTTGTTTATGGCCGAGGCTGTTTACAGCCCGCAACTGAAGCCGGCATTATGTGTAAAAACGACTCATACGGTCGCTAATGCTACCGTGGCCAACTGATTTCATTACTTAGTTACCCAGTTGTGACCTTACCTATTTACTTTAGACTGCAAAGGTTGCGGTATTAGGGTTCTTTTCGTGCACTTTGTTAGCAATAATTAGCCGTCTTAAGCCATCCAAATTTACCGTTAATAGAACTTCGATATTAATCCCAGGCCGATTTGTAGCTATTCCCACAGCATCGGCGTTTATTTAAACTTATGCGCCTGAAGATAGTTTACAGAAATGGATTGGTAACACTGTACTGATTTCTAAACTTGATTCAGGTAAACGAAATACGTACAGTTGCTTCGCTGAAGAACAGCATTGCCCCGTGATTCGTTGTAAATTATGCTCTCATTTGACGTCATTGCACTCTTCACTTTTCTCAGTCACGAAATTGCTAGTGAAACCATGATAGTGCTATTTCAGAATCAGCTGAGCACAACAACAATCATACAACCCGGACATTTGTGGGAAGTTTAGACCTCTGCATTAAACATTTGTTCCGCTTTGGTGGACAGGTATGCCATCGGCTGAAACGAAAGTCAATGGAATACTCAATAGCTGGACTTATTGCCGAAGCTTTGCTGCAGTACGTGGAGCGCATTGTACTGCACAAGCAGGAGAGTTCAAGGTCAAAGGCCAACTATGTGTGCAACATGCTGAGCACGATCAGATGTCCCAGTCACATAGGCTTTTAATCTTCCCGACCAAACATGAGAATATATAGAAGTTCACGCGCACTCTCATCAGGGCTTCCCGAAGCTACGCTACTGGTTACACGCTACACAACAACTAACTGAGGATGCCATCCAGATTGATAGGGGAACGTTTTCAACAAGGTGCTAAGCAAAGCGGGCAGTTCGACACTCACTAAAAGAAACTGAGCTACCAAGTTTCGTGCTTATTCCGTTGCACCTCTGCTACGTTGGAGAAAGCACATCGAAATTTTAACCCAATACTTAGATTCTATGTCAAGCAATATGCAATAACACTGTACAAAACACCCAACTGCTAGGCGGGCGCAGCAAGTAAGAGGTATGAAATTCACCTTGGCAATATACAAGGCATGATTCCTGTTTTTACATTCAACATTCCTGAGAGCATTCCTGAAAATTATGATAATTCTTACATCAAAGGAGCTAATCCAAGGATAAAGACGCTGATGGAGAAAGAGTGCCGAAGATCAGAATTTTTTCACAAGAGGAATATGGTACTTTAGCTAATTCGCCAGTCTCAATTTATAGCGCAGTTGGTTCAGAGACTCCTTGCGAGGGACAGTAAGCATAGATATGAGAAAATAACATTTGCGTGTATCAAGTTCTCAAACAATAATAGGTTCGATTAAAAATAATTATCAGGGGCTTGAGAAGAAGGAAATCAAATACGAGCGCTTAAATGCCTGAAGAGAACATATAGGTAAAACCTGTACAGGTGACATCAAGTGAGATTGGTGTATTTCAGCATGCAAATGGCTATGACAAGTGTTAATACAGGTGTTTTGTTTACGTGGTTGCTTACGTAATAGAAGTGAAGCTACTGAGGTGAATCCATAGATAGCAGTGATGAATTGGTTTGCTGGTTCAAACAAATATTCAAAATTAACGCTTTGCACCTATTCGCTTTCATAATATTAGTTAAATTAGATTACATTTATACAAGCTCTATCATTTTGAGTTATAACAAACAATTTCATGTGCTAATTATGCCTAATCCCTAACCATACGGCACGTTACTATGGGCACGAATAAACACCCAGTATAGTGCCAGTGCTCCATTTTAGAAAATCATTTTGCTTCACCCCGGCTGATGATAATATTGTATGAGTACGATGAAACAGTGGACGCAAGCCCGCCTACTTTAGCTAATATTTTACCTTATGCAACCACAAATATCTATATCTGGAAATAATATCATTCAAATATGTGATTAATCCATCCATAAAGTGTAAATATTCAACTCGAAGGTTATATGCCCAAGCCGTGGTTGATAGACAGGTGCGGATAAATCAGGCCGTTGACGGTGCCCTTGCATATCACCAACATCTATTAACTTATCTATGTCAGATTTATAGGTATTAATTCGGTTATAGTTCATCAAGGTCCATTCATAGTCAGCCGGCTATGGCTAGTCTGGAACGGAACCAGATTCCTGCTTTTCGACCATTTTGGTCTCAACGATGGTGTAACTTCGAGCCGACCACTGCTGGTTTTCGCCCGCTTGATTTCCGGATAACAGCAGCCAGTGTAACTTCGCAATGGGTGATAGCCGCGGACTTGAATGATTGACAGTTGACTATGATATAGACGGGCTTACATTCAACTGCATTGCCAGTAAGGAATTGGCGCTTGGGCTAAATTTTGCCCCCTGCACATTTCGATAATTGTACGGCAATTGAAGACGTGCAGGGCTATAGCACAGTACATCGTCAATTATTTAGGTTGGCGGACCTCGCATATGGCAAAGTGTCACTAGACGCTGGCATCCGGAATTCGAGGGGATTGGGATCAGACGGGATTCCACTGGAAGGCGCACCACTGACGAGACCCAGAAGGTCAAACCACCGACGGCTGATGCAGTTCCAGTCTCGCCAAATCCTGAGGACTAAGAGTGGATGGTGCTGAACATTTTTTAATCGTAGGAATCCTACCAGTCATTAGTTATTTTTATACTAAAAGTTTTCGAACCTCCAGTTTGGAGTCGTACACATCAAATTCCTATGACGAGAGCCAGTTTCGGCTAATTGTGCATAGCGTAAACTACAGCGTCGTATGGCAGTGCCTGAGAAGTGCGCGGAAATACATCCAGCAGTAAATGTTTCACGTAGTAGCGAAACCGAAATAAATGAAGGTTTGTTTGTCAACAACATGGCTACATTTAAAAACGTCCAAATTAACAAAGGTTCTAAGAACAGGAAATAAATACTAAAGCGATTGCAGTAGCATAGACCCTGAAAATTTTGAGGAAAATATAACACCAGGATGCATGATAATAATTAAGAATAACCTCACAAAAGGTACAAAGTAAAAATCTTTAACCTAAAAATTAGACCGTATTGATTAATAGAAAACATCTAGTAAAAGTATTAAAATAGTCGAAAGAAACTACTGGTATAACAGGACGTTAGAAGCAAGGAAACAGGGGAAGCACAATGACACTTGTATGATTTCCCAACTCCCAGCGCCATTTTAACAACAAATGAAATCTACGAACCACTTTAATCTCACTAAGCAAAACAATGTATCTACTAGGTGTTTGCAACCACAAACAAATCCCAGATTGGCTTTAAATAATACGTATCTTCACCAACCAATCAAAACAAGCATGGGGACAAAGCGGTTTCCCAAAGTAGCTAAACAGATGCTGTCCATTAATGTATGCTGCACGAATGTCGACGTCTTGTTTGCCGGCTTTTCTAAAGCATACATTATTTTCCCATGTTAGTACCGTTTAGGCAAGGGCAATAGCCCTTAAACATAAACGCTCCTCAAGGACATGTTATATATGATTTATCAGGGAGAATTGCAACGGATTCTCCATCACTTTTTTATGTACACTCTCCTCTTCACAAGCATTTTAAGAAGAGTACTTCATTATCTAACGAATTGTAAGCAAAATCCATCTTGCAACTTAGTTAAAGTCATAAGCAACGCCACAGGTAATTTTAAGTAAGCCACTAACAGGCATTACGCCAGTCGAAATTAGCAACGGGCATTAATTTAAGATGCACCATGATCTGGTAAATTTTCATAACGGCAACCATCAGTTTGGGAAGGATTTTTCAATGCTAAATGCCGAATAATGACTGCAAGCAACCCCTGAAATTTGCCATTCTTACCACGGATTTGAGAAGCCTAAAACCCGCGTTTAATATTGGCATCGAGAAAGTTGTTTTTAATACCACTACTTCTGCAATGCTTTCAATTCTTCTATATCTAGTTATAACTGAGGTCGCCACAACCACTGGGACGGGTACAACACCAATCATGACTGCCCCAGATAGTACGACGAAACCCACCGACGGAGGTAAGTGTTATTTGCTATCATTTGATTTGTAAACCGATGAGCGATAAGATGTATAGGAAAATTACGTCGTCAGCAAAAATCACATTCTGCGATCGTGGAATTAAATTGCGTCAACCAGACGGTAGAAGACAACGGCAGCATTCACTGGAAAATTGCATCTAAAATTCGTTCTTATTAATTGGCGCCCTGTGCATCCCTACTCTATACGCTCCAAAGTATTTTATTGCCTGTCGATCACTAAACTTATTTTCTTTCCAATCACATCTGCTGTACTTGTTTTAACTGCTTTGTCTCACAGTTAATTGCCCTTGGCGCTGGTCGACTAGATGAATGTAATCAGAATATTTCCCTGTAGGAAATTTAAAATTACGCCTCCACTTGAAATTATAATTAAAAGGCTAGTTCTCATGAATTTGTTTTATCCGACTACAGATTCTTTTTTTATTTCCTCAACTCTCATTTAGGCAAGCCTCTTTCAATTTTCTTTGCATCTAAGTGAATTTCAATCATCCGAATAACGTAATATTCGGTTCACTATCGTAGTAATTTTCCCATTTTAAATATTGTAACGTTACATATTTACTGAATAGGGAGAACGTTTTTTCTAAGACGTTCTTTAGATTTAGCATCCAAATATTATGTTAAATTTCACGCCACAATTTGTAATTTCACTTATAAATCAGTCAACTACCAGTCAATTCCGGATTTCTGCTACCAAATTTATGTTTTCTTAATAGGAATGTTACTTCTTGAAAACTTAATAGCTCTCTGGTTGTATAACAACCATTTTGGCGCCAATATTTTTCGATTGGATTTGACGGTTTATCGGGATGACGGCTTTTCCAGGGGAATTTCTTTATCCACATTATCTATGTTCGGATCGATGAGACTGGCGTCCTTCGATCTATATAAACGACGTATATTTGCTGTTCTAAACAAAGCGGTTAAAATTCACTGCGAAAGTGCCGGGCGTATATTTTGCTGTGATAGTTGGAATTATGTAACATTGTCCCGTAAAAACAGCACGGTTTCCGCTGATAGCTGTCATGTACGATGAATTTACTAATCGCACACACTAGCTTGATCTAGTCACCTGACGCTGGATAAGGACTTGTTGTGATGGACCGTTATTTATCGAAAACTTTAGATCGTCGAGACCATAAAGTACTACTCTCCAAGCTCAAGCATTACGGGCTCGCCGACCCAATTGTAAGCTGAATTGCCAACTTGCTACTTTAACGGAAATTAGTGCTCAGTTTTCGGAGCTCTATATCGGACCCATACAAGTAGACTTTGGAGTGCCATAACGCTCAGTTCTGGGTTCATGTTTGTTTTTGTTGTTTATAAAAATGAACAATGATTTATAAGGGGTAAGAAAGCAGGTGCTTAACATGTCCCGTAGGGTGTTTAGCGTGAAAAATGATGGATAAAGTGATACTGGATTCGTCGGTTCGGGCGATTACAGATTTAACTGCACTGTCGTATAAAGTAAGTTTGAAATGAGAATGTACGTACACAAAGCAATAAAGGGTGTGGTAATTGTTCACGTATTAAATGAGAAAAACTAAGAAAGATGGCAAGGACAAGGCTTAAAGAAATCCAGTTTCTATAGTAGTAGTGCTTATAAAATTTCTTGCAAGGGGTTTGGAATGGCTCATGCTCCAGTAGGGCTACGGCACTGTCCACTGTCTGTTGTGCATTAGTGCCGGCATCTTGTGGTTATGGGCCATAGCACGTAGTGTAAATGTGGCAGAATACCGTCAGGGCGTTTTTTGAAAAGGGATAAGGTGGGGGCATTAGGTACAAGTTCCGGGAGGGCGTTCCAAGTCCCTGACACTCGAAGGGAGAAACAGTTTCACCAACATTCCAAGCGGCTGTATTGAGGGACTGACTTAAACTAGTGACCTCTTAGCGGTGTGTTTTGACTGAGTATTTTAAAGAAATGGCATGGGTGGTTAGGGTTTCTCAGTATGTGGTACACCATTATTAGTTCCCCTTTAGACGCCGATAACGTCCACTCTATATTTTGAGGGTCTTCAGCCTGAGTGGGTAGGGAGGCTGGTCAAACCTCCGACGCACTTCGTTGCCCTACGTTGTACAGTATCGAGCGCGGTAAAGTGGTGCTTGATTCGGGGTTGCCACGCTTGAATAGCGTATTCGGCGTGAGGCCTAACGTACGCATTAGGCGTTTATCAAAAGAATGAAGGATCAAACTTCCCGAAAGCTCTGCGAAAAAGGCCGAGGTACTGGTTTGCTTTCTTAGCTGCCTTTTCAGTTTTCTTCAAACAGCCGAGATCACCTTAAACTATCACGCCGAGATCGCACTCCTGAGAAGCCCGTGGTAGAATTTGGGGTCCTAGGCGGTACTTCTGCATACTCTTGTGCCGTATGATTATAACTTTGTACTTGGTGACGTTGGACTGCAGCATGTTCTCGATGGACCAAGTGTACGCTTTGTACAGTTCCTCCTGTAACCCTGCGTGATCATCCACTGAAGCTATAATATGCCATACCTTTAGATCCTCAGCAAATAGCAAACAGTTAGAAGATAGCACGCTCGCAAGGTCATCTATGAAAACCAGGAACAGGCGGTGTCCAAGTACCGAGCCTTGAGGTACGCCGCAGTGAACCTCGATGGAGTCCGACAAGTTGCTTCTAACCCTCACATTCAGGTGACGTACGAGAAAATCTCCTATTCAGCCCAAAACAAGATTGCAGATTCCATATTTCTCGAGTTTGTGAAGGAAAGTCCGATGGATTTTACGCTCGAATGCCTTTGAGAACTCCAAGTATGCCGCGTTGACTCCTACACCAGCGTCACAGATTCATTCCAGCTTGTACGAGCAATCGAAATATTAATGGTACAGGAGCGATTTTAGCGAAATCCGTCTTGCTCCGGGACGAGAATTTTGTTGTTCTCTAGGTACCCCATCAAAGCGTCAGCTACAATGGACGCCATATCCTTTGAGATCACAGGAAGTAGTGTTATTTGGCGATAATTTGCTGGTTCAACACGACTGCCACTATTGTTGATTGACGTGATGATTCCGTACTTCCACGTCGTGGGGACGTGCCCTTCGTTCGTACATTGTTGTAAGAAAATTGCTAGTGGTCCTGCCAAAATCTTGGCAGCAACTTGCAACGCCTTCGGGCGAATGCCGTCGCACCCGGGGAGCTAAACTCGCGTAGCGACATCAGCCTCATCAGTACAGCTGCGGAGGTTAACCATATGCGATTAAACCTTGATGGCGGCGTTAACTGTTTAGGCAGGATGTATGATGCTTGCACGCTTTGGAAGGTACGGTCAAATTGTTGTCCAAGAACGTTGGCCGCCTCTTGTGCTGTTTGGGCTAACCCGCACGCTGTGTGCAGAGCAGGAATACCGCGCTTAACAAGGCGCAAATTGTTTACGTGTTTGTATAGCAGTTTGGGTTTGGAGCAAAAATTTCCACTAGACCATGTTGGTTATTCAGTTTATCCTCCCGGACTAGTTGGACACAGTGGTTTCTTTGTATTGTGTAGACATCCCAGGCATGATCGTTCGGGGAGGCTATGTAGTTGTGCCATGCGAAATCCCTTAATGCATTTACGTGTCCTGCTCCTTACGAAAGAATTCATCCTTTTATGCCGATAGAGTATGGTTTCAGATGTCCTTGCCACGAGCTTGGTAAATATGTTGACGAATTCTCCGCTGGCCACCTCAAAGGTTAATTCAGCTAAGTAGGACCAGCTTGTTGCATCAATGATCGGACAGGGCGTCATAGATGGTTACGACATGATATTCATCGGCATGCTCTTGACGATAATCGGCTTAGCATATGTAATGAAAAACTAGCGTCGCATGATCACTGCTGCCCAATGGAGTATCAGTTATCATTCTCACGACCATCAGTTCTTTATTGGTGAATAATCGGTCCAACATGGATGGCCTGTCAGTTCCGCTGAACCTGGTGGGCGTAATGACGCGGACATAAAGTGGGAAGTCTGAAACCAGATCTTGCAATTCTGCTTTGAATTGCTCTCCTGGTGTGGATTGGGATTCGAGCGCATGAATGTTGAATGCACCGGTGACTAGGATATGAATGTGCCTCCTGTTTATCACTTGCCTCAACGCATCTACCAAATTGCAGTCCATCTTAGGAGTGGACGGTGTTGGGCGGTATACAACAACCAATTCGCCAAGATGGTTTCCTCTCAGCCGGAAGTTACACCAAATGACGTCAGGTACGTCCGTTTCCGAATCGTTTTTGGGTTCGCATTGCATGTTGTTACGAAAGTAGAGGGCTACCCCAACACCTTTGCTGGTTTGATCCTTCCGGACAACAAACATGCCCATTAGCTCGATTTCAGCATCCGTTATCGCGCAGCGCAACCACGTTTCGGGGACCGCGATGAGGTCCCAAGCTGCTGACACGTGTCGAAGTCTTAATTCAGGAACTTGCAAAGGGAATCGATGCAAAATTCCTATTGTTTGCCGTCGATATCAAGATCTGGCGCCTGATCCAGGCGAACGCCGACCGGCATCCACTTCAGAGTGACCTAGATACGGTTTATCATTGGTCAAGCTAAAAATTACTGAAATGCAAAGTCAGTAAATGCAAGGTACTTTTCATCCGACATCAAAGCAGCGACTCATACCGGCTCGGAACAAATGTACTAAAACCGTCAGCTGGCGTAGGTGACATGGGTGTCCAGGTTCAAAAGGGCTTGAGTTGCTCCAGAAAATCCAAAAAGGCCTCAGACTGGGATCTAACAAGCCGACTGTTGAGACGGGCGTCTGGACAAATAAACAGCCCATATTTCGACATATGTTTGGTGCGTATGTTCCCCTCATGTCGAATGCACAATTCAAGCGTGGCATCCATGACTGAAACACGACCTTAATGCACTGGAGTAGCCACAAGGTCCGGCATCTCAGGACGTAATTGGAATGCGCAATCCTTCATACCAGGAGAAGCTGCAACGATTGGGGTTATTCAGTGGATGCTATCGCAGGTTATGAGGTGACCTGATTATAGTATACTTGATTCTGTGAGACTCACAAAATGTGTGCCGCCATTTAGTGCGACTCAACACAAAAACCCCTGAATGGCCACTCACTGAAGCTGTAAAATATAGCCTCTTGGAGGGCCACAGAAATTTCCTTTCCATTCGTGTCTGTAACAAGTGGAATGCTCTTCAAGAATCCATCGCCTCTGCACCGATATTATAAGTATATAAAGATGGTTAGATGACACACTCATGCACTTACACTTGATCACTTAGCACTGCGTCTCCATCCTACGCTTGAATTTTACCGTGGAATTATGTGATGTTAGCTTGGGTGCTGTGAATCTAAGTGGATTGAAGAACTACAGAGGAGCAAACGGAAAGTCCTTATTTTCCTATTTGATTATATACTTGTTTTATTATCACTACTATTACTATTGTTATTTCGATATGCTAACGGATTCTCCAACAGACTTTGAATGCAACGCTTCTTAACCCGTATAAATTCAATGTACCTTGTTCAATCTACAATAATGAAAAACTGTCCAAATTTCATCGGCTTATTTTCGGTAATAAGCGACAACTTTTTACCATGTTTAGCATTTATCTCGCTATCACTTTATCCGCACACTTGACTTGAATTATTGCGTTCTTCCAAAGATGGTTGTAGGCTTATATTTATTCTCCTTACAAATGTGTCTTCTGTATGTTAATTTTTCTATGTTTTACATGGCCATTCGTCTATGACAAACAGCAGTTTAGCCATTATTCATAAGTTTTTGTGTATTTTCTCTCGTTATTTCAAATTCATCTACATATGCATAGTTTGGTTACAATAATATTGATCGTTGCGAATTCTCTTGATGATAGCGCCTCCCTGTGGTGAATTGACGGATAGATCATTTAGACAATTCACTTGCTTGCTTCGTGTAGTGTGATTGATTTTAGAAGTAAATTGCTTGGAGCAAGCCGTGTAGATTTCGAGACAATTGCTGCCACATTTCGATAGGACAGCAGAAAATGCAGACGAGCTCTTTCGATAGCACAAATGACCTAATTGGGCTTGGTAGAAAATTACTGTGTATCGCGAGGTAGGTTTTAAGAAAAACATGAATTATACTTGTTAATACGTAGCAAACTCGAACATTCTTGTTTTACATGTGTGGCTATCGCTGCTCCGGTCGCAACAATGATTATATCGCCTCTCTCGTGTTTTAGCTACAAAAGCCGTGATCAAATTTCCCATCACATTTCTCATTGTTATCTTCATTTTTGAGTTGTTAGTTCCTTTCGATTAAACGAGATGAACCATTAAATGTAATTCGAGAGACATTCGTTTGCTCCCAGCGTTTCCTGACGCTCAATTCCGTAACAAATTAATGTTGCATATGCAATGTCGTTAGCCTTCCTGAAAGACAAATAAACGGTTTCTTTTTCTTTTTCTTTTTCTCGCTTTTCATAAGACAGGACACGTGCAAAACCCCGAGGGAGGTAAAATAGTGTAGTATATAAACTTGGTTATGAATTCCCTACCCGGCTTCCGAGTTTTGTGATTTCCGCCAGAATACCCATTGAGACTAATTTTTGTTGGATGATTTTGGTGCCGCAGAACAACTAGACAGGGAGCAATCCTAATGTTGTAAGTCCGGTTAAGTCAAAGCATATTAGAGCATTATGAGTGTTCGCTTTTAAAGGCTTAGCAAATTAGCCGTTGGTTGAGACTTAAATCTATATTTAACATCACAAGAATGTTAAAGTTAAATTTGTACTTCAATAATGTCAATCTGTATTAGGGCTTTATACGTTTCTGATCGACTATTGCTTGTTTAAGCGCCATCGGCGGTAATTTTGCGCTCTTCAATAGTCAAGCATAAGCTTTTAAATATGACAAATCACAAAATAGTTAGTAACGATTTTTAGTTAATAGCTAAACATTTAGCTGAATTTTCAAATGTTAAGTAGAGTATGTTCACCAAAATGAAATGAAAGCCATGCTTATTTGTAACCCGAAATCTAGGTGCTATGATTTCTACTCCATTCCGTCCGGCATCAGGAGCCGTATAAAACTGATATTACGGATCCGTTACTTAGACGAGAGTTTTGACGTCATTAATCTGGATTCCAGGCAAAATACACATTATCTAATTAACAGCAAGTTAGAAGATATCAACTATGGCAACTAGTTGGTGAACTCCGAAATACTATCCTTAAAGTAACTGGTTAATAGGAATAATGATGGTTAATTCCAAATTGCTACATCGGGAGAAGGCACACACAGACCACAAAAACTATTGATCAAAATGTAAAACGTGCGGTGTTCAAAACTTTTGCAAACGAGCCGAAAAACTGCAGCACGTCGGAGGTGAGGAAGATGGTAGAGAACCATAAATCCTTGGTATTTCAAATCAGTTTGTATCTATTGTGATTTAATGAGCCCTGATATGAATGGTGCTATGATAACCTAGATAAACTAACATGGTCCCTTAAATTAAGAACGTCTTTGAGCTAACGATGTGATTGCTGCAGGTACACAGAAGCTTGAAATCATATAAACTTTGTGCTAAATGAAGCGGAATACTTCCACCACCGAAAGACAGTAAAAAACTGCAGCCGGTCATTTCCTATAGACTATAGACTGCAATGAATAAGAAACTTAATCAGTCAAACGATAACGGCTTTCAGTACGGAGAGCCCAATACAACATAGACATAAGTTGAGACCCACATTTACTGTTCTACATATAAGAAGATCAAGTAGGTCATTAATTCATCTCAGCGAAAGCGAAGAGATTGACAGGTGGAATTTTGAGGCGAGCTAGAGAATTCTTGAAAACCAGACATCCAACAGCTACTTCTGTCAAATGACTCATTGAATTAGATATGTGTTACGCAGAACTACAAATGAAAATAGTCAACCTAATCAACAAACTTCTAACGGAACAAAAGGCCAGACTTTCTAGTTGGACGACGATGTCAACTGCGGGTGCAAGCGTGTCAGCCTCAAGAGGAAGAAATTTAGGTGGTCATCTGAACATTTAATTTAGCAAGTCTTCCTGACGGCTGTTCCACCAAGTAGAACGATCACCCTCACACGCACTCATTAGCGCTTTGCACCATGCGGCTCCGCTCCGCTACATACTAACGCACTGTTGATGTCAATCGAGTGGTGGATAAACGCTTGCAGCAAAACCGCCGCGTTCGGTGCACACTTCGGTCACCAAATTGAACACGTGGTGGTCCTGCCACGTTCAAACACCCATGCTTTTAGTTAGTTTTCACAACCCGCAACCGTTAGGATTTATTGGACTAAGAATGTCCTTGCTTCTGTTTGGTTGATTCGACAGTAAGTTCATATGCAGGTCGCTATATACCGAAAACCTTGTTTATTAAAATGTTTTATCTATATAATCGAGCTGTTACATTATCGCTAACCTGCTTCTTCGAATACAACAAACTGGCATCGCGAGCTGCAGTTTCGTTGCATACTTCTGCCCGTGCTCAGTTCGGCATCGTTTCCGCAATTACCCCAAATGCAGATTCTTTACAAGTTTGGAAAAGCAGATATACAAAATTTATTCTGTATTACGAGTTTCCAATCCATCTGTGAAGAGGAAAACAGAGAAGATTAAAACTTTTGTGATTGCACCTGAGATCTAAATGTTGCCGAATCTCAGAATTCCAGCAATGCCTACCTGAAAAGACGCCTTAGCCATGTTGGATAAGCATCGCTGGGTTATCTTGAACTCATACACATTCAGTGAATAGTCTTCGCATTTAAATCATGCAACCACTAAAAACTTGGATAATTCCCTCTCTTGCCTCTTACGTTTTGTTACAATTGCAAATATGAAGATGTACAAAAAATAACTAAGAAAATATGCAGTAATAAAACTGTTATCCGTACCGTCGGATTATCGTATCCGGAAGAGATTATTAATTGTGGATACGAATAAAGTCTAATAGGACAGGGCTTGCAATATACCTCGCGCGGTGTTTGCACTCGATGAACAAAAGTTTGTGTATTCCAAAGCTGTCGCCCCCGAAATTGAGTGAATGGATTCATCACTTTCTACAAAGATATCGCAGATAAAACGGAGGTTTCTTTTGTGGAAATATTGAACCCAATGCAAACAGTAGATCGTGATCTGCAAATAAGTTGATTTGTTGCGTCCGCAGTAAATCGGGACCTTTTGCCCGACCTTGTCTCTCTCGTACTATTTCGCGCCTTGAAGTGTCCACAGCTGCTACTACGGCTACTATAGCCACCGGAGATGATGTTGCATTTAGAGTTAGATAAATTTGGATATCCACTTATTTGTGTTCCCATGAAATAACATTATCCTCATCTGACATTTAATGTGTGTTCAAGTAAATATGAAGGATAACACTCGTCTAGATATGGAGCCTAATTTAGCATCACCATATATGATGGTGCTGAATGTTTTACAGACAATATTTAGCCCATTTGTTCGTGCGCCCTTCCATTTACACTTTTAATATCGATTCAAATGGTCGTTGTATAAAGATTGAACACGTATTGTGAGCGAAGTATAATAGGGCCGATACAGTGTCCGTATATATTCAAGCACTTATTTCAATTCAAAAGACGGGTGGATCTATGCGAGTATGTACCGAATACATATAAATAGTAAGCATATTATTATCCATAGACTACCAGGGGTTCTGTCAATGAGTTGATGGTTAGACTTTGCAGCGTCTAGGTTTCCCCAAATCTTGCTCTTTAGGTGCATATTTACACATGCACCTGACTCCATACTGCGGCTTATCCAAGTACACGTTTTTTACATCAGCCTTATCAGTGCCATAGCCGTGTGGTAGAATTTCACAGCTCTCTTCTTGCCTGACGTCAAGGGATGTGTTATGCAAATGCACGAAATTGCTGTGTTTGATTTTGGTCCGTTAGAACAAGAAAAACTATAAGAACTTATTTCAAATGCTGAGTTAACTAAAACTTTGCCAGAATGCAGAAATCGCAAGTTCACTTTCATGGAACTGGTGTTTGTTGAGCGTATCATTTCCACATATGGGTAAGGATTATTGAATTAACTTAGAACAATGCTGAAATATACAACACCTTACATTTACCCAGAAATGCAACATAACTTAGTTCTGTGTAACTAATAACTGGACATAGAGAATTTTGATAGACCCTGCGGAGGCTACAGTTCCAAATGGGCGTTGCGGTGGTTCACTGATACTGAGAATTCTTATCTTAACACATAGGCTATGGTTGTGTTCATCAGTGATGCGAAACATGGTGAGCAATGTACAACATGTGATCCAACTAAAGCTTTGAATGTTGAGCTAGGATCATTTCTGTTTTGCATTAATGCGGTGAAAAGAATGTAATAGCAAATGCTGCGTGAAATCAATTGACTAGTTAAAGAAATAACTCCGCTGCCAAACGGGGGCAATTTGCATGTACCTAAGCATGTGAGAAATAGTAGTTCTACAAAGCTGGGCATCGGTATCGATAGAGAAGCAAGCAAAATGAAATAAAATCATAACTGACCGCGGAAACAAGAGGCACAAATCGGTGCGATTAACCCTTTAATAATCACATCCACACAACAACGACGATGGAAATAAATATAATCCAAGATGTTGGAACACATTTGCTGGACCAAGGTTTAAAAAAGAAGGGTCAACTCAAGATTTCGAAGGGATAAACTTAATAACACAACCCTCAAAGGGAGAGCTCTTCGGCATAACACTTAACAGGATAAGCATGAAAACGTAACGTCATACAATGCAGGTAAAATTTCGTCCATACATGGAAAAACCTGGTCAAATTGTATGAACAGCAACCCGAGAAATGTACATTTCATAATTACGGGAAGACTTGAGTTATATAAACAATAGTATTGTGAGCCGTGAACATTTCATTATACATGGAAAACTTACGCCTGCAATGCATTAAAACGCCCACGAAGGACTCCCAAGCATGGTGCGGACAAAATACCTGGTATGCCAATAATACTATTGGCCAAACTTGAATCTTAGCCTTCAAGCCATTGTTCAGGAATGCTAAACCCTCCAGCAATCTACTAAAACTGTAATGCCGTTGGACCCTCAAAAGCAGCCTGTCAAGTACTCAATGAAGCCGTAGTAGATGATTGAGATTGATATCATGGGCGCATTCACCAAAGACCCTCAACCGAAAAGTAATATGCCAGCTCCTACGTATTAATAAAGCAGATGGTCAGAGGCTGCTTTGTGTATGTCACTAGACCCGGCAGTATTAACTGACTTTACTGCTTGTTCCCATCATTTGTGTT